GAGTAACTTGGAAAAATTGAAGCTAATACATTTATGCTCAACTTCAATGTTGAAAATTAAACTCGGCATTGATCTTGAGCTCCATTAAAAGCTTCTAGTATGCAACTAGGCAGAGGTGAGGCAGTTAGGGGCATGCATGTGCAAAACAACCTAATGTTGAAAGAGACCGGAAAAATGGGATGATATAGTTTCTTATACTGCGTAATTATTCCCTTTCGATGATGCTTCAAATATTTTTAATTTAAACCGTCGGCAGGAAGGTTTAAATGGATAAGAGCTCATGGATTAACAATAGTGGAAAGCACGTGATGAGGGCGTCAAGATTCTAAGTTCACAGAAAATAATGCGAGGGAAAAAGTGCAGAAGCAGTCAATGTCGGACACTGCAATGCATGAACCCGCATTCAATGTAGAGAAGATACCTGCTCCTTTCCATCCCCTGACATTATCACATGAATTTTCGCCACAATTTATGTTTTGTGGAGAAAGCTACATATTTCCTGCAATCCCGAATGGCTGTTTGTTGCATGTTCCTTCAACAAGGGATGAATATTGAATATAATGCAATCCAAGGAAGTAAAATGAAGAGAATCTGCAGAATAAACAAATGGCCAAATCCTTACGAATTGTTTCAATCCAATGTCTTTTCGACTAATAAAGAAAGCATAAAGATTTTGCATGTAATAAGATTCCAATCAGTTTGTCATGGTTTTTGGGTACAAAGAATCCAAGACAATACCACAAAATAGTTTATTTGGCATTCGGACACAAGAACATCTTCAGTGTATAGCTGTATGCCTTATCAATAGAAACTTAAGATGTATCATCAGGTTTCATGTGCCACTTTATGGGTTTCTTATGTAGCATCACAGGTTTTATATTGAGACGTTCTAAGAACCTATGTGTGAGATTGCTGTTGGTTGAGGATGCAGCTCACATTGTATCCCAGCTGAAGTTTTTTCTCCTTCCAACACCCATATAAATATAGAGAATATGGCAAAAGTGTTTGAAATTACCTTGTCATAGTCCCATCAGCTATTTTAGTAATTCAAGACTGACCTGCAAAATACCTTAAATGACATTCAATTATTTTAAAAAGAAACAGATGGTTATTCAGACTCCAGCTCAAAACATTACATTTCAGATTCAAACCCGATATTCCAAAACCCTTCGGGAGTTAGAGGAGGATTATATTTATACCGGTGCCTAGAAACACCCTGATGATGCTCACAACGGATGTTATGCTTATTACTGTCATTATTCCTGCTTCCATCATCAAGAACTGCATCATAGAATTTCTTGCACTGATTGCATTCGAATCCTTTCAAATTTTCCCGTTCTGACTTCTTTCTTATCGGTTCCACATACTTAAAGTTTCTCTTATCACCTATTTGAATTGGCATTTCTTGATTTTCTGGCGTGGGATCAACATTCAAGTCCTGTGTTTCATCATCTGAGCTATCAGCTTGAATGCCTTCTGGAACTGGGCCTGGATGATCTTCCTTTGCTACTTTACTCAGGTTTCCTCTGATGTTTTCCAAGGGAGTATCAAGAAAATCATCATGGGGATCAGATCCACCTTGCTGCTGACGGGACCTAGTCTCCCTCCAACCAGAAAATGGTCGTTTTCTTCCAGCAACAGGATAGGATTTTGTACTCGGCACACATTGTGCTGTGGGAAGATTGGAATTGGGAGAGCGAGGACGAGAGGTTTGAATTGATTTGAGCCCTTTCTCGTCCTCTGAATTATCATTGAAAATGGTTTCATCCTTAACTTTTGTCAGGTCACAAGCAACAGCAGGAGCATCAAGAGTTTTGTTTCCGTTAGCTACAATAAAAAGTAAAAGACAATTTGTAAGGAAGACAGCAGTAGCAGCAATTTCCTTGCAGCATCTAGCATTACTAAGTACCCAACTTGAATCATAAAGTAAGACAAAACCAGGACAAATACACCAGCAAAACTAGACACCAATCCGAAGTACTGGCACCAGTGGATAACCAACTTCTATATTATCTTGCCATTAGCAGCATAAGACCATAAAAATTGAGAATTGAGCAGACCTCTAAGCAGAAGGCTAAGCAACAGAAACTTACCTGGCGGAGAATTTTCATGGTGATGATGCCTTGCACGTTCTGATTTATGTGGTGTTATCACATTCTCTAGATTAAGACCTTTCTTACTGAGGAGGTAGTTGTATTGTGATTTCAGCCTCTTGTAACCATCAAGAAGCTTCATGTATTTATTCTGCTCAGCCAATAGCTCAGAGTCTTTTGGCTCAATCTGTTGAATTAACTTTTTGTAAAAATCTCCTTCTTTGGCTTCATGATCACTCCTTTCTTGTAGCTTCAACTGAAGCTCATTAACTTTCTCCTCCAAATCTTTAACTTTGGTGAGAAGCAGTTCCTTCGCTTCTTTGTGCTCTGCTAACTGTTGCTTAGTCCTTAAATTTTCTGAACCATTTGAATCAACTAGTTTCAGCAAACCTTCTTGCAATTTTCTTCCCTCCTCAACTTCTTCTGTCTTTTTCTTCAGCTCCTCATTGACTCCATTTAAATTTTCCTTCAATTGTTCAAATTTTGTCATAAGCTGTTTTTTCTCCCTCTCATAATCAATCAGTAGCTGTTCATTATTCTTGATTTCCAAGGTTTGCAAATTAATCCTTCCAAGAAGATTTTCTTCCAACTCCTTTCCTTTGATAACTTCTTCAATCTTTTCTCTAAGAACCTTCTGGAGAAATTCAACTTTGTTCTCCATGATTTTCAGGTCAGCAAGAAGCACATCTATTTTCTTTTCATGCTCTCTTAGTTGTTTGTCCTTATTCACAATCACATTGGCTTTTGTTTGAATCAATCGGATCAAATTTCTCTGCAATTCAATTCCTTCATCATCTTCCTTGAACATAAGTTTCTTTTCTAGCTCTTGGATTTTCAGTTCCTTACTTCTTAGTTTTTCAAGGGTTCCTTGTATTCTTTCTTCATGCTCTTTCTGCATCATTTCCTTCTCAAGTTGAAGTTTCTCAACTTGTAGTATGAACTTATTTTCCTTCTCCTTCCACAAGTCTTCTGCAGCTTTCTTTGCCTCAGAATAGATTTTCTGCAAGGTTTTATATTTTGACTGGAAATTTGGGTAAAGGTCGCGGCAGAAGATGGATTCTATCCGAGAAATCTCATCTTTGGCTTCCTGAAGGCTGCAGAAGGTGGACTCTATCTCAGAAATCTTGCCTTTAACTGTTTCAAGACTACCAATCAGTGCTAGAACATGTTCGTAGACATACTTTGCATCACCCCAGTCAACAACTTGGGCCTCTGCCGGAGATTCTGGAATGGGCTCCTCCATTGCAGAAACTAGTTTCATAAGAGCAGCCATGTCAGAATAACTAAACATATCCTCATAGTCCCACTTATTAAATTTAATTTAAGAAACATTGTTGCAATAAAATTTACCAATTCCCTACATAAGAAAATTATTTATATGAAACACTGGAGTCTTGAAACAAGTAAAAAGTATACAAGGAGTGGCTTCATGATTACACTGACCTGTCATTTATGTTCCCAGTATCATGCTCTTTCTTGCTCATGAAAAGGCCCCAGTTCCTAAGGATTGTATTAATAATTTAGTAATTTAATCAATTCAAGCTTCTCTGCTATAACCAAGCACATCAACAGTACTCATACAAAACTAACCTCACCAGCCAAACCAGGAGATTCAATGATGTGAAACGACCAACTACTTATTCCATTCATCACGAGAAATTTGACAAATAATTTCCCTATATCAAAGTGCCCATCACTACATGTTTCACAAAATGAATTTATCATCAACAGGGCAGAGAAATTCAATTCTCGTATATCCCTCCCTAGATATTTTCCACAGTCTAAACTCTAAAGTAAACAAAGGAACATAAATTTGCTCTTCACTGTTATAGACAATATCATTCCCTATAACACTGTCACCAACCCCATAAACCTACTTTATTCTAAAATCTAGAGTTCAAAATTCTAAAATGTGCTAAAGTTGAGAAGACAAAGATCGTCATTTTTCTTCCCAATAAATAACCAGAAAATGAACCATCAAACCATCCAAAAAAATAAGCAGAGCCCCTGACATGAAATTTCAAAAAATTCTTATAAGCCCAGTTATTCTTCCCCATTTTTTTTTTAAAAATAATTGGAGGAATCCATTTTTCACACTAATATCATTCATAAGAAGAAATGAAAATTTCCAAGATCGGAGAAATTAACAACGAAATTAACAAATGTCAACCGAGCAGAACTACGAAACTACATTCAAAATAAACTTGAAAAAAAAAATGCAATTCTAGAAATCAACCGAGCGCTAGGCTAAAATCAGCACCAACAACAGGAATAATCGAAATGCGAAAGATTTAATTGAGAATAAGAACCTTACAGGGGAACCGGAAAATGTCGGTGAAGGCGAAGAAGAACAGGAAGCTGATTGGGAAGAGCGACACGAGATTGGGCTCGACAAAAGCAGAGAAGTATGGATTCTGGCAACTAGATGAGCGAGTAAATCCATAATTTTGAGCTCTACCGCGCGCGAATTTGTAGCTGCTTGAAAAGCTTGGCGGGGAAGATTTGGGAACCTACATTATTTTCTTTTATTGATTTAAAAAGAGTTTGAAAGTATGGGGGTGGGCCACAGACTCACAGGCCCGGCTGAATTCAAACCTGTTATTGTGGGCCTCTTTTTCGGTGTTTGATTTTCAACACCTCAAGTTGCAAGCTGGCAGGGCAATGAGATATATTTAGGGGTGCAAAATGAAATTTTGATGAAAATTATAATTTTGTGTGTGAATTTGAAAAAGTGAAAAAAATGAAAATTAGTAAATAAAATTTTTTTTTTTGTAAGTGGAGGTGAGGGTTTGAATTAGAGGTTTCGTGATTAAGTGTACAATTAATTCTATTATCAAACTATATGATTAATAATAAATAATATTTTTTAATTTCTAATGATAAATTAATAGTGATTAATAACTTAGTATAAACACTTGAAATATAAAAATAAACATAAGAAAAGTGTATTTCAATAGTATGTATTTATAAAAAAAAAAAAAGTGAAAAAATGCTCAAAATTATGTCATTGTAATTCACTCATATTAAGAAAAACTAAAAGATCTTAATTTTTAAAATAGAATGAGGTTATTTATTTTTTTTTTTTTCATAATACGTTATTAAAATCATATAGTTTTTAGTGTTTTTTAACGTAATTTTTTATATATATTCAACTAATAAATATTAATCTTATAAGAAAAAGTGAATATCAACCATACCTAAAAACATTAAATAAAAAAATATTTAAAATTACATTGTTTTAATTAATTCTCATTGAGAGGGACTAAAAGGCTTTAATTTTTAAAGCAAAAATGAAGTTATTTTAATTTTTTTATAATATTTATTAAAACGGTATAACTTTTAGTGTTTTTCTACTTAACATTTTTTTCAAATCCAATTAATAAATATTAATCTTAAATGATTATTCTATAAAT